ACAGACACAAATGAAAAATCACTCACCCCCAACTGCTTTCCCTTTCTCGGATTATATCAAGTGGTGACAGTTGCCTTCTCTATCCCTGTAGTCCCACACACATGGAAGACTGCTGCCAATATTTGGTATCTATTTTCAAGTTTTATTGCGGTTATGTTAATATAAAAATTGATTTATGCTTTACATATTGACTGTGGCATGGTCTGTTATATGAAGGTCCTGGCATTTCTCCTTATCTGTGCTCTGACTGACCTAATTCTCTGTGATGGGTCCACAGCATTCCCTTGTGACTCTACCATAATTTAATCTGTCTCCTGTTTATGAATATATTGGTTGTGCATCATATTTTTTATTTTTTATTTTTTTTTGAGACGGAGTCTAGTTCTGTCACCAGGCTGGAGTGCAGTGGCGGGGTCTCAGCTCACTGCAACCTATACCTCCCAGTTCAAGTGATTCTCCTGCCTCAGCTTCCCAAGTAGCTGGGATTATGACACCTGTCGCCATGCCCAACGAATTTTTGTATTTTTAGTAGAGACAGGCTTTCACCCTGTTGTCTAGGATGGCCTTGACCTCCTGACCTTGCGATCCACCCACCTCACCCTCCCAAAGTGCTGGGATTACAGACGTGACCCGGTTTTTGGTTTTTTGTTTCTGAGACGGGGTCTCACTGTCACCCAGACGATCAGAGCTCACTGCAGCCTTACCTGCCCTGCTGAAGTGATTTTCCCACCGCAGTGTCCTGAATAGCTGGGACTACAGGCACATGCCACCACGCCTGGCTAATTTTTAAAGTTTTGTAGAGACAGGGTCTCCCTAGATGGCCCAGGCTGGTCTCAAACTCCTGGGCTGAAGCAGTCTTCCCACCCCAGCCTCTCCAAGTGCTGGGAGTACAGGTGTGGGCTGCCGTGTGCCCAGCTAGGTGCATGTCTTTGAACATCGCTGCAAATGTCCGTTGGCCTTTGGTCCATCTGAGTTGCCTGTCTTCTGGCTTTTCTGTTAGTTTGATGGACTAGAAAGGGATAGGGAGTACAGGGCCAGAAGAAAGATAATTTGGAGATCTATCTGTTTTTTGTTTGTTTTTCCTGAGATGGAGTCTTGCTCTGTCACCCAGGCTGGTGTGCAGTGGCTTGATTTCAGCTCACTGTAATCTCCTGCCTCCCTCGTTTAAGTGGTTCTCCTGCCTCAGCCTCCTGAATAGCTGGGATTACAGGTGCCCACCACTACGCCCAGCTAATTTTTGTATTTTTAGTAGAGAAGGGGTTTCACCATGTTGCCCAGGCTGGTCTCAAAACTCCTGACCTCAGGTGATCCACCTGCCTCTGCCTCCCAAAGTGCTGGGATTACAGGCATGAGCCACCATGCCTGGCCCGGAGATCAGATGTAGTAGAGATAACCTTTATCTGCCACATGTATATTTTCTTCAGCTCCTCCTCTCCCCTTTCTTTTTGAGATGGAGTCTCGCTCTGTCTCTCAGGCTGGAGTGCAGTGGTGTGATCTCTGCTCACTGCAGCCTCTGCCTTCTGGGTTCAAGCCATTCTCCTGCCTCAGCCTCCTGAAGCTGGGATTACAGGTGCACACCACCACACCCAGCTAATTTTTGTATTTTTAGTAAACACGGGGTTTCACCATGTTACCCAGGCTGGTCTTGAACTTCTGGTCTCAGGTGATCTGCTTACCTTGGCCTCCGGAGTGCTGGGATTACAGGCATGAGCCACTGTGCCCAGCCTTTCCACTTCTCAGTGTCACCTTGAGAATACTATTTCTGAGGAAAAGCATCTCTACATGTGCCTAGAAAGACTGGAACGGCCGGGCGCGGTGGCTCACGCCTATAATCCCAGCACTTTGGGAGGCCGAGACGGGCGGATCACAAGGTCAGGAGATCGAGACCATCCTGGACAACATGGTGAAACCCCGTCTCTACTAAAAATACAAAAAATTAGCTGGGCAAGGTGGCGGGCACCTGTAGTCCCAGCTACTTGGCAGGCTGAGGCAGGAGAATGGTGTGAACCCGGGAGGCAGAGCTTGCAGTGAACCGAGATCAGGCCACTGCACTCCAGCCTGGGTGACAGAGCTAAACTCCGTCTCAAAAAAAAAAAAAGACTGGAACAGCTACGCATTAAATGTTAGGGGTCTGGGTGGGGCCTGTCTCTGTCCCGTGTGTGTGTGTGTGTATGTCTGTGTTACACATGTGCTCTCGGATGTGACAGCCATGTCCTGTTCTTGTTTACACATAACACAGTTTGCCACGTGTCAAGTGGGAGCTGAAGGATGTGCTGCACCCATTCCTGGACCTGGGATACACAGGAAGGTGCAGCAAGCGTTGTTTTTGGAAGTTCTACAATGACCATGACTGGTTTTATGTGGACAAGTATAAAAATGAAGGCCTAGCTTCCCTCTCCGTAGTGGTGTCGGGTGAAGGCAGGGGTCTGGGTCGGCTCCTGGTCCACCTTGCCTGCTACGTGGCTAGGTGCTGGGGCTGGTCCCACCTCCCCCACCACAACGCCCCCGGCACCCCAGGTCCCCGATTCCAGGCCACAGCTGTGGAGCCATTAGCGGGCTGGGCGTTGCGCAGGTACCGACTCGCGCCGGGAGGGGGCGCTGTTCCCTAACCTGTTCCGAGTCGGCCCCGGGTCCTGACGCCGCCCGCGCGCGTTCACGCTGCAGGTGCGGAGTTCTCGCAGTGGGCCTGGGCCGCGTGCTTGACCGGGAGTGGGGAGGACGAAGCTAGCCGCCCTCGGGATGGGCAGAGTCGGTCGTCCTCGCAGCCCCTACCTGCCACCGCACTCGGGAGGGTCAGGCCGCACACAGGTCGGTGCCCCCGTGGCCGAGGCCCCAAACCTGCTGGGGGTGGGATGAGGCGCGCCTGGATCTGGGCACTGGGGGTGCGCCCCAGACCCTCGCTTTTCCTTGGGGCGGGGCGGCCCCTTGTTCTCGCGTCCTGCCTTTGAGAGAGCACGGCAAGAAGGCTGCACCTTGGGGAGGCTTTACTCATACACGGGGAAGATGGCCTGGGGGTCCCACGGCCACCCACCCACAGTTCAGCGGTACTCGGAAGCCAGCGCAGAGATCACGTGGCTCAGGAACTTGTCCAGCGACGCCTGCAGCGCCGGGCTGAAGTCTCCGGGGTAGTGCCGGGCGAGGGTCACCAGCAGGCAGTGGCCCAGGAGCTGCAGCGAGCGCGCAAGGCTCACTTGCCTGCACACGCCCCACATGCCCCCCGCACCCGCCCCGCCGGAGCCCTCCCGAGAACAGGGGCCCAGCACGGCAGCCGCTCACCGGGAAGTTAGCTGGGTCCACTCGCAGCTGGCAAGCGTGCAGGTGGCTCAGAGCGGACAGCGCGCGGGGTAGGTCGTCTAGGCGCTCCACGGCGAGGCTCAGCGCGTCCGCCACCTTCTGGCCGTGTGCTCTAACCTGGGCGGAGCCGGGGCTCAGGTCTAGGTGGGAGAAGTAGGTCTTCGTGGCGGGGAAAGCCAGGAAGGTCCTGCGAGAGGAACGGCGGTGAGGCGCGTCCGGGGGGCTTGGGGAGGCAGGGCCCCGGAGGGCGGGGACGCCCAGCCTCGCCGCACCTCTCCAGGGCCTCAGTAGCGTAGACGCCGACGTTGCTGCCCAGTTTCTTCCACAGGGCGCGCACCAGCGCCCGGTCCTCCGCGGACAGCGCCATTCCCGCGCTGGAACCCGCCGCGCCCTGCGCCCCCGCTGCGCCTGCGCGGACCGGCCAGGGGTCCCGCGGCCACCAGGGGGCGCCGCGCTGCGGCCTCGCCACCCCGGGGTCCAGGGCCTGGTCCCGGATCCCGGGACCGCGCGGCCTCCATCTCCGACAGCTCCGACCGGGGGAACTCTGAATCGCCCTGGATCCAAGGCCCCCCGTCTTAGGTGTTCACCATATAGTTTTTAGTCTCTACTAAAAACACAAAAATTGGCCGGGTGCGGTGAGTGCAGTGCCGCGATTTCGGCTCACGGCAACCTCCGCCTCCCGGGTTCAAGCGATTCTCCTGCCGCAGTCTCCCGAGTAGCTGGGACTACAGGCGCCGCCACCACACCCAGCCAATTTTGTATTTTTAGTAGAGACACGGTTTCACCATGTTGGTCAGGCTGATCTCAAATTCCTGACCTCAGGTGATCCGCCTCGTCCTCCCAAAGTTCTGGGATTACAGGCGTGAACCACCGCGCCCGGCCGTCTGTATTATTATAACACTGAATTTGGGCATGGATTTGTCATTGGAAGTCAGTTTATTCTGCCTCTTGAGTCTATTGTGACACTTGCCCGAGTCTATTTTCTCATTTATTATATAAAATGAGGGTGACAATTTCTTCTCAGATTGTGAGGATTAACGGATAACAACTGTCAGGTGCCTGACTCGTAGCAGTGTTTCTTCAGGGCAATGAACGTTTACTGAGTACCTGGGATATAACCCAAGAATCATAGTAAATGCGTATGCAACACTCACTCTGCTGTACCCCTTATAGCTTTTTTGTTTTAAAAAAATTGTGCTAAAATCGACATAAATTATCATTTTAGCCATTTTTCAGGTGTAAAATTTGGTGATACTAAGAACATTTACAGTGTTATGGAACCATCTCCACTGTCTAGGTCAGAGCTTTTTCATCATCCCAAACGCCAGCTCTGTACTCATTAACAGTAACTCTGGGCCGGACGCGGTGCCTCAAGCCTGTAATCCCAGCACTTTGGGAGACCGAGACGGGCGGATCACGAGGTCAGGAGATCGAGACCATCCTGGCTAACACGGTGAAACCCCGTCTCTACTAAAAAATGCAAAAAACTAGCCAGGCGAGGTGGCGGGCGCCTGTAGTCCCAGCTACTGGGGAGGCTGAGGCAGGAGAATGGCGTAAACCCGGGAGGCGGAGCTTGCAGTGAGCTGAGATCCGGCCCCTGCACTCCAGCCTGGGCGACAGAGCAAGACTCCTTCTCAAAACAAAAACAAACAAACAAAAAAAATAAACAGTAACTCTGGCCCATCAGCCACTAATCTGCTTTTGGTTCCTATGGTTTTGGCTGTAGTGGATATTGCATATAGATGGGGTCATGCAATATGTGACCTTTGGTGTCTGGCTTCTTGTCAAATATTTTCAAGGTGCAGCTACATCCTATCAGTGTTTCATTTCTTTTTATGGCCAAATAATATTCCCTTGTATGTGTAGACCACCACGTTTTATTTACCCATTCATCTACTGATGTATAATTTTTATAACTTTTTCTTTTTGAGATGGAGCTTCGCTCTTGTTGCCCAGTCTAGAGTGCAATGGTGTGATCTCGCATCACCACAACCTCTGCCTCCTGAGTTCAAGTGATTCTCCTGCCTCAGCCTCCTGAGTAGCTGGGATTACAGGCATGTGCCACCACACCCGGCTAATTTTTTGTATTTTTGGTTGAGATGTGGTTTCACCATATTGGCCAGGCTGGTCTCAAACTCCTGACCTTGTGATCTGCCTGCCTTGGCCTCCCAAAGTGCTGGGATTACAGGCGTGAGCCACCGTGCCCAGCTGCTGGGCTAATTTATTTTATTTTATTTATTTATTTTGAGACGGAGTTTCGCTCTTGTTGCCCAAGCTGGAGTGCAATCGCACAATCTTGACTCACTGCAACCTCCGCCTACCAAAGTGCTGGGTTTACAGGCATGAGTCACTGCACCCAGCCAATTTTTGTGCTTTTAGTAGAGACAGGGTTTCACCATGTTGGCTAGGCTGGTCTTGAACCCCTGACTTCAGGTGATCCACCTGCCTCAGCCTCCCAAAGTGCTACAATTACAGGCATGAGCCACCATGCCTGGCCAATTTTTATAATTTTTTCTTAGGCTTAGTCAACTGAAGCAGCAGGAGTGGAGAAGAAAACAATAAATTTATAACTGATTCTGATCAATTAATTGTAAACACTGCTGCACTCCAACCAGCCCACTGATGTACATTTGACATATTTCTACCTTTAGGTCAGACCTCCATTCTTCCTGATGAAATAATGAAGACCCTATCTTCCTGAAAGTTGATACTGTACCCACAGGCTGTGGAAAGGACATCACAAACGCAGGCAGAGGGCCTGCCACAGGTATTTACCAAGGGCAATTCATGGGCTTAGGGAAGAAAAGATACTGCTATCAGTTGAGGGCCAGGGCTTTATGGCTGCGATGTCTGGGAACCCTCCCTCTGATACCCCAGGCACTGAGAGCCTGCTCAGCAAAGAGAAACTACGCTGCAGGGAGGAGGAACCTTCTAGCCAGGACTCTGTGGTCTGGCTCTCCTCTCCAGTCACAATGGGACAGGCTCCCCAGCCTCAGGGGAGCTGAGTGGGTGCTGAGCTGAGCCCTGAGCTGGGCCCAGAGACGACCTCCTGGCCTTGCCAGCCCCAGGGCATCAGTGTCTAGATCCTTGTGAGCATCCTAGGATGGCCTGGGGGTGAAAGGGGAACCCCTGTTGAGTTGTCTGGGGCCTGCGGTTGCGCCCCTCACCCCTGATTTCATCTAAACTGTGCCTGTATCTGGGAGGTGTTCCAGAGACTAGTGGGGACAATGGGGGATCAATGCAGCCGCCCTGGAGTGGGACTTCCCTAACCTACCCACCACCCATATCTGGGAGGACCTCTGGGAAACCAGTGAGGTCTCAGGCAGAAAGCAGCCAGTTCTTGGCACAAGAGTGCCTAGAAATGTAAAGATGGATACATTCATTATTTCAACAAACCTGCATTGAATCTGAAAGGCCTGGGAATAAAACTCAGGAAAGAGCAAATGCATCCTCAAAGCACTCTAGGGTCCAGCGGTTTTCCAGTTGGACTTTGCCATGGCTCAACTTCCTTCCTCTCTCCCCTCCTCCCGCCCCTGCCCTTTCCTACCCTATCCAGCTGCAGAGAGGTCCTAGCCATGTGTGTCCTAGCTGCTGTCCACGCCCATCCCTGGCACCTTCGCTGAGGGAAGAAACTCAGGCACATACAGGCTGCCGCCCACTCAGACTTTATTCAAAGACCAGGGGGTACGG